ACTTAATTGGATATTTCCTTCTATTCTTTTTAGCACGTAGCTATTTATTATTAGCATTGTTCTTCCGACGTCTAATTTCTTTTTAATTATAGGAAATGCGTTTTTCTAAGGTACATAACTTTTGGGATTGACTGTATAGCCAATACATCCTTAAGTTTTTGGCTGTATAAGTACTTGACGCGAAATTCCGTTCCTCTTTTGTTTCAAGACTGAAAGGGTTATTTTTTGGAAACGCGTAACAGATGTCTAGATTGGTCAGTGGACGTTAGGGCAGGTCAGTAACTGGGTCAACGTGCGAGAGTAAGGGCCAAAGTAAACGAGGACAACAATAGGGATCGAAGAAATGATGAATTTCTTTACACGATGATACGTCCCGATTCAGAAGTTTGAAAAGGATGAAGCGAACGGGATTTTAAAGAGAAGATTTGCCCACTACGAATGTTGTCTGCCACATCTCGTTATGATTATTAGGTAAAAAGTCACTTTTAGATTTTTTTAATAGGGTGACTTTCTGCAGACTTTCAATGAGAAAATCAAGAACAGAGGAAAAATTCATTTTCGCTTCCAATAACTGTATCTTTAGAACTAAAAGTCATGTCGGAATGAACCAAATGGCATTTTTAAGGATGGAAATCATTGCTTATTATTATAAAGTAATAAATTATTGAACTTTCACATTTTCTGATAGACTTTAAAGCAAGGATTTTATATTATATTTTAATTTCGTCTGGATTGCTTGGGATTCTGCTGAACCGTGCATCCGCCCTTAAAATATTCTAACGATTATTTCGCTTTAAAATAACGTATATTTTTATAATGCGAATTTATTAAATGGATTTCGACGTTTCCATTTCCCATAAATTTCTAAAAATCCATAATTTCTTTAACGATGGCCCGAATATCTGTCCTCATAAAATTTCGTGAAATCTCCAAATGAAGGAGAGATGTCGATTTATTCCATATATATTCACGATCTGTCCTCGAAGGGGATTTTTTTGTGCAGAAAATCTCGCTCGGTTGCATCCTTCGTTTATTAATCGCGACGATCGTTCATCGTGAAGGAGGGGGAGAAGGTCCCTCCTAATCGGAATCGTGCAATTTCCATGAACAGGAAGCGCGGGTCGCGGGACCGGCCGATCCTCTGGATCGGATATCGATTCTCGAATTTCCGCTACGAAATAAGACGAGCAAGGGGCGAAACAAAACGGTGAGAGAAAAGGTGGATAGAGGTGAGCGGTGGGGTGTGCCTCGCATGGACGCGCCAGTTGGTCCCAATTGGATGGCAGCCGTACGTCGGGCTTCATTAAAAGCTTCTCGGTGGCGCAGAGAATTTTTTTCATCCCGTCGCGACCGCACGGCTCGACGCGACGCGAGCACGGGACATTGTTAATTAGAAGCGTGCGCGCGGGGGCGGTGATGCAGTGGCGAGGGGGCGAGGGGCGGAAAGCGGAGGAAACCGTAGGAAAATACCGCGGCACGACCTTTTTAAAAAGCCACGCTCGAAAGCACGCGGCCCGTGAATTCCCGGCAATAAACCTCGAATATCGCATGAATCATTCCGCCGCGGTGGGATACCCATTAGAGTTAAAGAACGAACACGTTATATAAACTTTCTCTGATCTTGCGCTTTCGATGGAAAAGTAAATATTGTTACCTTATTTCCTTGTGTCCAATATTTAGTAGAAAACAATTTCTAGAATATGTTTTATGCCAATAACCTTACATTTCCTCGACCTAATGCAGGCATATCCAAACCGCTGTTTTGAGGGTAGAAGCGCTTTAGCTGGTTCCCGAGCGGAGTGATAAGTCGAGCATAGAACAGAGAGTTGCAAAGTAGTGGGGAAATGACGTTGTGCTAATAGCTGATAATAGGCGAGCACCGTGACACTGCTAGGCTAACATATCTAGGGTAAGTGAAGCTAATGCTGCGGATGCAGCTATTACTGCGGTATTTTATAGATGCAATAAAATAGTGCTTTTTATTTATATGAAATACTCCTTAAAAATTTACATAATTAT